GTTAGTACGTACGTCTCTCTCTCTCTCTCTCTCTCTCTCTCTCTTCTTCTCTCTCTCTCTCTCTCTCTCGCTCTCGCTCTCGCTATGCATACACAGAGGCTCACACACATGGTCATCAATTAGTTGTGTTAGTTTTTCATACGATTGATTTTCATCTGATTTCATTACATCTGATACTCCTACATCTTTAACTTTGAACGACCCTGTCATCATGGGGATGAGAAGGTGATTAAAAGTGAATTCATTTGGTTGATTGGGAATTTTGGAAAATACAGACTCAGTGGAGATGGCTCAGCTCTGTACATGATTGGGTTTTGTTTGAATTATTTTGGGACCCTGGCAGGCCAGTATTTTACAATATCTTTGGATAAGATCCAGCCGAATATCATCAAGTCATTGGATTTGGATGCTACTCAGTCCTGGCCTAAGTCCACATTTTTAATTCTTGAAATGTTCTACTGTGTATGAATGCAGGAACAGATTTCTCGCTCTCTCTCTCTCTAAGCTGTACACTTATAAAATGTCTAAGTGCATCTGAGGATCATTATACACTATTTTGATATCTTGCTAGGCTTTGCTTATGTTTTAACATTTCATATTTTACATTTTTCCTTGGACTTATGAAAGGAATAAAGTGTGGAGCAAAATGTTGGAGGTTAATGTTCTGAATCTGTGATTTTGATAACTGATGCAGTGGTCAGCAAAGTACCCTTATTGCTGTGCTGTAGTTGATACTTTTGATTTCTTAGTCTAAAGTCATTTGTTGTACATTTACATAGATTTTTTTTGTTCTTTTTCCTCTTAAAGGAGGTGTAAGGTTTCTTTTGTTACCAAGTTCATATTCTCATTTGTAAAGCAACTAAAAGGTTCCTTTAGAGATAATTCAGGGGAGAATGTATTAGTGCCTATCTTTCTATGGATATTTGTGTTTGGGAATACTTAGTTATATATGAAGCCATACGGAGGCAAATTCACCTGAGATGCCATGTGATACTGTTTTTTGGTAGAATATTCCTAGTTCTGGAACATTATTATTATTTTCTTGTTCTTCTTGATCTTTGACCCTTGTGTAATATAGTTATTTTTTTTTCGCCTTATTTCCTCTTTTCTTAACAGTAAAGTTCTGGGTTTAATTCTATTGCTTACAAAATCAGGTAAAATAGAACAAACAAAAACTGAAAAAGAACAGTTCTTAAAAGAATTGGATATTTGACATATTCTAGTGTTTAGACTATATCTAATCCTTTTGACTGTCAACTTAATCGGCGTTTTTGTTATCATTCCTGTTTCCTTGTAGAAATGCATTCTCTCTCTGGATGGTCCTGTAGCGACGGCTGCAGGCCTCAAGGATGAGCTTGCGATTGTCACACATGCCTCCCAAAGCCTTCCTTCTGGAGATCAGGTACATAGATTATTCTGGTGGTGTCAAATTTGGGAATTATGCTACAATCCAGCGGACTATATAGTAAAACCATAGTCACTAATGGAGTGGTAAAACCATAGTCCCGAGGGGTCATAACCATTTAATGATAAATGATTGCTTGAGGGATAGGATCCACCATTGGGGACATATCCTGTTTTGGTGGATCTCTCTCCATCTCTGTCCATTCATTGGACGATGATGACCCCAATGGCACGTATAATTTAAATAAATTATTTATCCTTCTACAGTTTCTGACGGTTGTTGGTAATGGTGGGATTTAAGCAGCTTTGCTTATTGGTTCAATGATTAGAAGTTCAAATGTAGTCAGCTTGGGTTTGGAGTTTGGACATTACTAATAGGCACTTTTTAACTCCCCAGAATTGTGCGCATTGATGGGTGAAACTGTTTCTCTTTGTTCTGCAGATGTTAGAAGTTCAAGTATTCAATGTAGCTAATAGCACGAAGGTTTTTGAAGGTCGGCTTCCACTAACTCCTGGTTCACATCTCACCTGGCTTGGGTTTAGTGAAGAAGGCTTCCTAAGTTCATACGATTCCAAGGTCCACCATTTCTCAATACTCTTCCTTGTAAATATTGTCAGTTACTTTGGGGAATTACACACACCCACACACAGACATAGGTATACATTGATAAGTTGGAGAAACAGAAAATATGACATGCTGTGAGTACATCATGCAGGGGGTTCTTAAAGTCTTTACAAAACATCATGGAGGCAGTTGGATTCCACTCTTCAGGTATTTCATTTAGAGAGTTTGCATATTGTTTGTGGTTGATTGTCATCCTGTTCCTGATAGCTAAGATAAATTTGCACCATCTTTATTTAGTGCTGCTAAAGAGCGGAAGTCTGAGAAGGATTACTATTGGGTTGTTGGATTAAACGCAACGAAGGTGTTCTGTGTTGTCTGTAAATCACCTGAAACATATCCACAGGTAACATCCTTTAGCATAGTTTGGATCAAGCCCCACCTCTCTCTCTCTCTCTCTCTCCCAGCAGGGTGGTTGGGGCAGGGGGGACAACATGTGCACATGTTTTTTCTGTTTCCACCCCCGTACATGAGCTGGATATTCTAGCTACCCATATCCCCACCTATGTATCCCACTAATGTTATGCAAACAAAAATTGCATATATGTATGTAGGAAAAAAGTTTATATAAGGCTAGATTGCAGTAATCTACATCATGAATTTCATTTAGAAAATGTAGATTTTACACTCTTAAAAGACATGTCACTTTTGATATCGTCCTAAAAGACGTGCCAAATCTACCCCATCCAATAAGAATGGACAATTTAAATTATTGCAACCTTACTTCTACATGTAAGGTTACAACCTTATGTAATATACATACATGTATCGATGCATATGCGTATATACACACTGCAACCGAACTACAGAAGTCACAAAATTGCTTTTGGGGAAATTCTTGTAGCCCAGATATATAGTTACAACTGCATGCCCATGTATTTGATGAATATGACCTGCATTATTCTGTTCACATCATATTTGTCATGATTGTTCAGGTGACACCCAAGCCTGTCCTTACACTCTTCAATGTGTCGTTTCCTTTGGCATCATCTGATCTTGGTGCCGAAGATCTTGAAAATGAGTTTATGATGCGTGGCTTCAATCTTTTACAGGTGGCAGTCGAGCTTTCCTTTCCTTGTATTATTGTAGCATTAGTTCTTCTCTTAGCTGAATCTTCTCTGTTATTTGAACTTCTCAGGCTCAGAGAATTCTTGAAGAAACAGCAGCTACAGGTCAAGACACCACGTCACTTGATGATGAAGTTTTCAATATGGAAGCTGCTCTTGACCGTTGTATATTAAGGCTTATAGCCAGCTGTTGCAAAGGTGATATGTTTTGGAAGATTTTGCAAAATTCTACTCTCTCTCTCTCAAGTTTAGATGAGCATGTAACTGATGTGAAGCTTATTTCAGGTGATAAGCTAGTGAGAGCTGCAGAACTGGCTGGGCTGCTATCACTGGAGAAATCTTTGAAGGGTGCAATAAAGCTTGCTACTGCCATGAAGCTTCCAATACTAGCTGAGCGATTTCATGGCATGGCGGAGGTAAGTACCGTTCATTTGTCCTTGAGCAGAGTTGTGCTGGGAGTAGCATTTGATTTGGCTTAGGAATAGGCAGAAATGGGTCTGCCGATTTATGTCAGACCTATGAGAGAGGAAGAGAGTAGACAACCTACTCAGAGAGAGAGAGAGAGAGAGAGAGATATTTGCTGCTGTCGCTGCCTGAAAACCAAACTTTATAAATTATAACTTGCTCATGGAGAGAGAGAGAGAGAGAGAGAGAGAGAGAGAGAGAGAGACCAATTCCATTAAAAATAACTGGAGATGTGCAAAAATATGCCCGAAAGCCAAATTTTATATCTAGTGAGTCATGGACCTTGTCTGTGCAGTGTTTTGTTTGTTGATTCATATGCATCCTTGCCACAGGAAAAAATGCTTAGTGAGGCCCTGGCAGAAGACCATGTGACTGTGCATGGTGGCATTGAACCTAGTAGAAAATGTGTACCAAATATTGCAAGGACTCTACCTCCACAGCCTGTAATATCATTACCTTCCCCGGTATTTTCACTGAAGGAGAAACCAGAAAAGAAGACTGCAACCGAATTTAAAACAATGGAAGCTAGTGGGAGGTCAGATGAAAATGGTTCCAAAATGAAATTCAGTAGCATGGTCAGTCGTAGGAATTTAAGTGTAAAGGATCCCAATATCAAATTCAAGAGCATGGAAAGTAGTGAGAATGCAAAGGTCAAAGATTTAAATCTTGGTGATGATCAAGCAAAGGTTCCCAAGCCCTCTAATCCATTTGCCAAAGCACCCAGTGAGCAAGACAAGTCTTCGTTGTTTGATTCTATCAAGCAGATGAAGGTTGAGGATATGGGTAAAGAAGGCCAAAAAAGGAAAGAGAGGACTGTGTCTCTTGATCAATTTTCTGTTGCCAAAAAAGCAAGATAGAAAAATGAAGGCAAATCCCATTTTATTGGTATTTGATTATTGTTAGAATCAAAGAGGCCTCATTGAGCTGAAAATAGGTGATGCTGTTGACGCTTGATGGGGGTATGATATGCGATCATGGTTAATTATCCAAATTGCCTCAAAAGAAAGGACCTCATTTTGTTTTCTCTGATTGTGGATGGTACCAGCAATGTAGTTCCTGCATCAAAATCTCTCATTTATGAGGTGGATTATGGTATTTGGTTGGAAATATTTCCATGAAGTTGAGCAGTGCTGTTATCCATAGTTTCATCACTGGAAATTCGATTCCCGGTTGTTATAGAATTCTGTGTAAATATGTTACCATTTGTTTTTCGTAATTGGTATCACCTGATTGTTTGTTACAAGGTGTGGTTAAGATCTTTAAAATTTCCAAAGTGAGCTAGTCTTGCAATTTTGCTAAGAAAGAATATTTGATATGCAAATGTACAACCCATGCTAAAAATCACCAATAGTCCAGACAAGAGCATGAACCAGCTATGAAATGATGGAATCGATTTAAGTCCCTCACAGTTATATCTCGACCATATAGCTTTGACAGATGCTTCAAAGCTGTGTGACAATCAGCGCACACTCTTAGGTTCTTCACAATCCTAATGGTAGTGCCTGGCCTTGTGCTAATGAACCCAAAAGCTATTGCCAGCTTCTCACTGTGATGGCCAAGAGAAGCCTCTTTAGCTTCTTCCTCTTCTATGTCAAGCAAAACCTCTTTGGTATCAGGCTTATACCCCTCTGATCTCAATCTCTTACTCATCTCGTCTAGCATTTTGTAAATCTCTCTCTTCTTCAGGTGTTTGGTATCGCCCACTACAAACTCGTGGACCACCCCATCTATCTCAATTGAGCTACAACCTGGCGTTTTCTTTATCCCTTTACCTCTCATCTTCTTCCTCACCCAATGCACCCGGTTCCAATTGTTTCCCATTGCATATATGTTTGATAGCAACACATAGCCTGCACTATCATAAGGAGCCAATTCAATGAGTTGCAGCCCAGCATTTTCTCCTAACACAAGATCACCATGGATTCTAGATGCAGCAATTAAGGCTTTCAACATGGGTGCATCAGGTTCTGTGGGCATGGATCTAATAGTCTCATTGGCTTTCTCTAGCATGCCAGCTCGACCAAAGAGATCTACCATGCACCCATAATGGGCTCGTTTTGGCTCGATTCCATATTCTTGGCTCATCATTGCAAAGTACTTGCACCCCTCTTCCACTAAACCTCCATGGCTACATGCATTTAAAACACAGGCAAAGCTTATGGCATTGGGCTTTACTCCTGAGGTCCCCAAGTTTTCAAAAAGTCTAAGAGCCTTTGGGCCATGTCCATTCATTGCTAGCCCGGATATCATAGAATTCCATGTGTCGACCCCCTTTTGGGTCATCCCCTCGAAAACTGCATTAGCCAAATCCACATTCCCACACTTTGAATACATGTTAATAAGCGAGGAACCAAGACTCGAATCGAGCTTATATCCATGTTTTTCAATGTATGCATGGACCCATCGTCCTTGGTCGATGGCCCCCAGGTGAGAGACAGCCGACAAAATGCTCACCAGTGTGATGCTACTTGGTCTTTCTCTATCGTCCAACATAAGCCTGAACAGCCTTAGCGCCTCCTTGAACTCACATTTTTCCACGTGAAGTGCAATCATGGTGTTCCAAGAGACTACATCTCTGTTGGGCATTTCATCAAATAACCTTTGTGCCAATTCCCCCTCTCCACAAATAGCATAACCTTCTAACAAGCTGTTCCATGATACTATATCCAATTCCGAGTGATGGGTACCGTCAAACACCTTACGAGCATCCAAAACTCGCCCACTATTTGCATATAAATGAATTAGCTTACTTCTGATGAAAGGATCAGAGCAGAGACCAAATTTCACAATGTTTGAATGGAGTTGTTCTCCAAAGTAAGCTATTGATAGTTGGGTGCAGGCTTTGAGCAAGAAGGTGAAGGTGTAGTTATCTGGTTTGGGACCATAGGGTAGCATTTTATGGTACAAGTCCATGGCTTTCTCTGGGTTTTCTCTCTCTAGGTGTCCTCTTATTACGGTGTTCAAGATGAATGTGTTGGGTTCTCTGATATGGTTGATAATTTTCTCAGCATATGCAATGTTGCCGGGGTTTGAAATTGCGTAAAATTCAGCCATTTTACTTGCGTGAAATGTCTGGAGAATCTGGCCTGATTTGAATAATTGGGCATGGACTTGGGTAGCTTCATTTGTGCTTTTGCAGAGTTGGAGGAGGAAGAGAGTTTTGCTTTGGTGAGTTGAGATTTTGGGTTGGAGAGAGGGAGGGTTTGGGAGTGTTGAAGAAGACATGAGAGTGTTGGTTCAAATGAGGAAGAAGATCGTGATGACGGCCAAAAGTTTCTCTCTTCCCTTCTCTTCCCTCTCTAACATAGGTATTGATTAATGAGGAAGAAGATCAATATGGCCATAAGCGCAACCTCTCTCTCTCTCATGTACACACATATGCCATAGACAACATGGTTTTGTCTTTTGGACCAAAGATGTCGGTATTTGAGAGGATTCTTGGAATTAGTAGCCTAATTGTGCCTAATTCACAATAAATCAAAATGAACTTAAAAATTTTCATCTCTCCCTCAAACAAAACAAGGCAAAAGGGAAACAAGATTCAAGAAACCTAGCATTTTTTTTTTCCTTAAAATGTCTAATCTGAACAGCTCCTTTTCGTTTACAAAAATGATTATTGTGCCCTGCAATTTCTCAAGTAAATTAATAAAACCAAGGAATTAGCTAACAACATAAGAAAGTGATATTGACAATATACCATTAAGGGATTGCATTACAAGAAACTGTCAGCATCTGAGTAAAAATAATGTTTCAAGCGTTCACAGATCTCGGGCTGTTTAAGTTTACTGAGTGCCCCTTTTTCAATCTGTCCGATCCTCTGTTTTGTTACTTTGAAAATCTCTCCAATCTCAGCCAATGTCATCCCCCTACCTCTCTCTAACCCACACCTGTAAATCAAGATATCTCTCTCGTTATCACTAACAATTTCCAAGAGCTTCTCCAGCTCCTGTCGAAGATGTTTCTTCATGATAATCTTGGCTTCTGAATCGTTACGGTCATCTACAACCGAATCCTGTAAAAGATCTAAAACAGTGATTACCTTGTTGAACAATTTGTATTAATTTAAACACAAGGTTTTCTTTCGTCATCAGAAAGAAACAAGTAACTGTGAACAAGTGAAGAATTTGATTAAAAATGCATTTTTTTTTAAAAAAATTTAAAGATGCTGACCCCATGATTTAGATAAGAGCCCTTTTGAATGGGCCGGTCCAAAGAAATAGGCTCTCTTGCAGCAAGCATGAGCAGCGACATTTTCGCTGGTGTTAATCCTGCCAACCAGGTTGCTTCTTCTGGATTTTGGTTCATTTTGGGATCTTGACGTATCAATTTCCTTGCTCTTTGCACTCGAGAAAGAAGACCGTGGATGTGATGCTATCGAAGAAAAATAATGTAATCCATCATTATTCAGCAACCAGAAGTATGTGAATATGATGGGTGAAAGATGACATACAGGCAAGCGGATGAGCCTTGAATGCCTTATTATCGCCTTTGTTATGCCATGTTTGATCCACCAATATGCATATGTTGAGAACTTACAACCTTTTGTATGATCAAATTTCTCAACACCTCGCATTAAGGAGATGATGCCTGCCTGAAATAGGAAACTTAGCATTGAATTGTAGGAAAGAGAGGGAAATGTGTTTTAAAAGAATAAAAAAAAGAAGAGAATTTGTAAAAACAACTGCTAAGTAAGGCCCCGAATCCAAATAATGAAGTAGAGGATAACCTCATTCACAGGCTCTGGTATACAAATTTTACCTGAATGAGATCTTCAAGGGCCATTCCTCTGCCCCTATACTCGAAAGCAATGGAAATTACGAGACCGATGTTGTTACTTAACAATCTCTCTCTACTACGCGATCCTTCTATTAAGCGGGACTTTAATTCTTTCTCATCAATTCCAGTAGCCCTTGTTAATTCATTCATTGTTGGGTCACGCCCAAACTCTTCCTGCAGAGTTTTCTTTGTTTTCTCTAACATCAGAGTAACCTGAATCAGAAATAAAATCAATATAATACTATCCATTGCATTCATAAGAACAAATAAAATCATTCAAGTGCCACCAGTCATTAAACAGACGAACCAACTGAGAAAACAAATCGCTTTGATATGTAATTGTATATTTGGAATTTTCTGCATGATACAATTGAGATCCAAAAGTATTCAGATGAAGTAGCAACCCCAAAGTATTCATATCAAATATCTAAAGGAACAAACAGACTTAAGTTCAGAATCAAGTTCAAGTGGGGGACTTTGGAAAACAACCTCTCAAAGACACAAATTATAGAGCACAATTTATACTAAACTCTGGTCATCAACTACAAATTACAGTCGCAAAACAGAATCATACAGGCCACAAGGAAAAGTTGTTGAATTTTGAGGACAGGCTCTAAATGATTTTTCTTAAGATCAGGTTGTTTTAGAAAATGTAAATTATCATGGGACCCCACTTAATAACCATCATCTCATTACCAATGCTCGCATCAATTGACCATGGTATAGAGTACCTTTCCGATATGTAATCACAGCATGACCCATAATAGCATGCTCATCATAATTGGATCCAAAGGGTTTATGTATTTTCAAGCAGCCAAACAGATTCTATGTAGGCAAAGTCACACGAGGGAAAGAACAAGTAGAGAATGAGATACAAATGTCCATAAACAACGTTTTATTCAAGCTGGACTAATTTGCATTTTGATTATTGTTAAATGAATAGATAAATCACTGCCATTAACCCCATTGTTTGTCATTTGAACCTTTTTCCCTCACCTTGACTGCTAATGAGAGTTTAGCCTCTTCAATAGAAGACATGGGTCTGACTTGTGCTGAATCTCTGAAGTAACGAAAAACCTTTTGCTTAGAGGGACTCCTATTATCAACAATTCTCTTATGGCTTTGAGGTTCCTCAAGTACTTGGACATGGCCATTGGTTTTCCTTTTCTTCTTTTCCCTGTTATGTTTTCTTTCAAGGAGTTTCTTGGACCTGATTCTCACATTTAGCTCCATCTCATCCCCATTTGAAACATATTGCCTTTGAATCGTATCCTGTTAATAATGCTGAAATTTTATCTGAGTCCTTTAATTGGAAGAGAGTATATTATAATCCGATGGACTATCAAAAAGGCATGATCCATGGGGACATCACTGTTCATTGAGATATGGATGGTCAAGGAGAGAGTGACTCACCAGAATTAGAGACCAATGGTGGGCCCCATTAAAAAAAAATTCACCATCCATATCATCGATGGATGGTGTGATCCAATTTGCTTTGGCCTTGCCTTTCCTTAGTCCATGGGATTCTAGAGAACTCCCAAACAATAATTCTTCTAATAGATGGAATTACTTATGCAAAGAAATTAATGGGAGTAACCTGGTTGGGTGCTGATTGATTAGATTCATTATAGTGTCCCTTGCCATTATCCAATTCGAAAAAATCCCCAGAATAGCCAGCACATATCTTTCCGAAAAATCGCCAGCCAAAACTTCCCTTTGAACTAAGAGTATATCTGAGAAGCAAGCAAAGATTCTCATCTGTAGAGTCAATGTTGCGGTCAGCATGTTAAAGAAAAGTGCACACCCCCACTACAATGCAAAGGAACATTAAGCTATGGCCACATATAGATACTCATATGCTGAAGTCAGTGAGCTCTATACAGCAAAGGATTTATTTCTGTTGGGCAAAGCCCCAAGTTCTTAACAATTCACAAGGAACTTCTTTCAAAAGGATAAAAAGCTTTCTATTGCCAAAAAAGTGAATCTCTCTCTCTCTCTCACTATAACACACACACATACTTGTTTGAGATTGTTCTAGGTTGATTTAGAAACACAAAGGAATTACACAACATTAGTGATGCTTTATCTGTTAATTTACCTTGAGCCGAAATGGATAAATGAAACCTGAAAGGCTAACAGGCTTTTCAGCTAAAGGATTTGTCCTTATAATACAATTGATTTGTGAAAACAAAGTTTAAGTGCATACAAGCACACATTCACTCATATAAACAAGGCATATAACCAAGTTGGGTGCTTCAAAGCCTGAAACTTTTGAAAATTACCATGTTCTGATTGCAGTTCTGTGCAACAAACATTTAAGTTTGGTTCTCCGGGCACGCCATCAAATTATGAACAACAGAGTTTCAATAGTCCATAAACTATTGCACAACCTTAAACTGCATGGTCCTAGTTGCATGATTTTAAATTGCATAACCATGGTCTAGCTGTATGACCCTAATCTAGCTGTATGACCCTAAACTATAATGTATGTCATTGCCGCATGACGTTAAACTGCTTTGCCCAAGTTCAAGAAGCATGACCTTAAAGACACCCCCACATATGCGCATACACCTTTTACGTGTATCTTCACATACGTCTTCTCTAATCGACCCGTTCATGTCCGCATACCCCCTCCATTTTCTCCCTTGTGAGCCTGCCTACATACGTGCATATGCCCTTTATATGTATTTTCACCCACGCCTTCCTTAGCCGACCATTCGTGTGTGCACCGCCTTCACTATCATTACCATCTTTTCCTCCAGGGAGTCTTACACCAACTTTTTTCAATAGATTTGTAGAGGTGAACCTTAATTCTACATTTTATGGTGTGAACCTCATTTCTAATTTTATCAGATTTAAGTACCATCAGTGGCAGTAATTTTTGTCAGTGGGTGTCTGGAAAAAAAAAAAAGAGATATAATGATGAATAATGATTATAAAACGTTCATTAAAAGGACTGGAGCTGCAAGTGTAGTACTATATGTACTATCACTACGGGAGATGACAACATGAAATGAATACATTCTTTGCATTAGTAATGAGAGAAAAGAATCAAACATGAAGACAAAACATTCACCGGTCATAAGCATAACCATTCAGGACAAGGGAGTTCAACAAATTTTCTGAATAATAAATCGGAGAGAGAGAGAGAGAGAGAGAGAGAGAGAGATGATGAGAGAGAAACAAGTATAATAGCATTACAAAGATAAACAAAATCTCTTCACCTATAAGGATGAGGGACTTTAAGATGGGCCAGGTACTATATTCAAGAATCAAGACAGAATGAACAGAGCTGGGGAACAGAAAACCCATATCAAATTGGCAAAAAAATGGAGAGAGAGAGAGTAAATATGAAGTGACAAAGCTAATAAATGGCTGCCCATGAGAGTAAAAACCCAACTGAATTTGAGGCAATTTTTTTTTTTTAAAGGAATGTAGTGAGAGAAAAGGAGGGCAAAAACTATAGAGAAAAGAAACATTAAAAAACAAGTAATAACTACCCATTCCAAATTGCGGAAAGAAAGTACCCCGAGATGCACAGTGGAGACCACTGAATGAGCCCAAATGCTTCCTCTCATTTTTGGGGGCGAGTACGTGTAAGTGATTAGCTGAGAGAATGGGAGATTGTGCTACAATTGCCATTGTTTTCAGATTTACACTGTAACGCAATACTTGGATTGTTCATAAAGCTTAAAATTAAGTGGGGAATTGAGTGTTTAGAGTGTGTCAATTCAAAGAAAAAGAATTGCAATAAATGAACGAAATTCTTGCTCAAATGGGTATTTCAAGAAATGAAAGTAGAAGAAGAAGGTGAGGAAGACGAAGCAGAAAAACTTTGAAGGAGAAAAGAACTGGAAAAAGCCAAGAAAGACCTTGTGGTTGAAGATTCGCATGCCTCTGCACCATGACATTTCTCTCTCTCTCTCTCTCTCTCTTTCTCAATATGTGTGTTTTGTAAGGTGCCAAGTCAGCAGCCCCTGACTTTAGCTTACATGTGGCATTGCATGATAAGCTGGGACTGAGAATTTAGCCGGTATGGATCGGATCGTGGGTATAAATCCAAAAACGACATGAAATTTGGATTCGGATCTAAAATCTAGATCCAAATAATAATTTGGATTAGATTAAGGTATAGGTGGATCCGATCCAGATCTGTCACGATTCTTAAAATAATATATACACATATATATTATAAGAGTAATGATCCTATGAGACACTCTCACTCCCATGAGAGTAGGACTCCAAATGATCGCTGTCAAATTTGACACAAATCTCTAAAAAGTCAAAATCTCATCCCATTTTATAACTTTTCTAGAAACCTGTGTCAAATTTTTTTTATGGTGATCTTTTGAGGTCCTACTCACATGGGTATGAGATGGTCTCATAGTGTCATTTTTCATATTATAATTTATATAAGAGCAATGATCCAATGTAACTGTTGTATCGTAGTATAATACAACGACACTTTTAGAAAACCATGTTTGTGGTATTTGTATAACTTCAAATTTTGCACGCACACTCTTTTCATCTCAATAATCAATCCCTAAAAAAAAAAAAAAGTTCAGTTTGAACCCTAGATATGATCAAAGTGAGTCCCCTCCAAAAATGAATCTAGACCATTCATTTTGTGAATTTCAAAATCTTAGCCTTTAAAAATTCAAAATCACTTTTTTCTTTTTTAACATTGTTCATTTAATGATAATAAAGCCACTCAAAAAAATTGAAAATGAAAAAATCCTTGTAAGGCCTAGATCTAAGCATCTCACCAAAATGAACGATCTATGTTAATTGGGCTAAAAAAATACTTTCCAAGTTGTGTTTTTAATTTTTTAATTTTTTTTATTATTCATTAGAATGAAAAGAGTGATATTTCAAAATTTGGATCAAACAAATGGCCAGAAGATGACTTTTTAAGGTTGTTGCATCATATTACTATACAACAATTGCATGGAATCATTGCTCTTTATATAAAGGGAAAAATTTATACAAAGTTGCAACCTTAAAATGTAAAATCATAGATGTAACTAAAAAATTTATCGAAAATATTGTTTTAATGTTGAAAAAATCCTCTAATCAATCATCTCGACACTGAGATGTATTAATATAAAAAAAAAAAAAATTTGAATCCCGAAAATAGTGCATCTTACAACACATTATCTAGACTGTCCAATCAAGATTTTCATATATTATAAATCTACTTGATTTTAAGCATTTTGGAATTTAAAATTTTCTAATTAGGTATAAAAATAGATTTTAAGATAATACTAAGAATTTTTTATAACAAAATTATATGTTATGATAAAATTTTAATGTGCGCCTTAATTGGATTGTTTAATGTTGCATCTTTATAGAAACCGCACCCTTTATATATATAATATACATGATACATATTTATAAGAACAAATGAGACATACAGAATTGTGCAAACTATCGAGAGATTAAGCTAATGAGCCATACTATAAAGCTTTGGGAGAGAATCACTAGGCAACGATTAAGGCATGAAACGACTGTATGTGAAAACCAATTTGGTTTTGTACCAAGAAGATCAATAATTGAGGCTATTTTTCTACTTAGGCAACTGATTGAGAAGATTAGGGCGAAAAGAAAAAACTTCTATATAGTCTTTATTGATCTAGAGAAAGCTTATGATATAGTACATTATGATTTGATTTGGCGAGTATTCGAAAAGATAGGGGTCTCTAGACACGACATCGATTTGGCGAGAGATATGTACGATTGAGCGCTAACTAGTGTACGAACAACTAGTAAAGAGACAAGTGAGTTTTTAGTGACAATAGGTCTACATCAAGGGTCAGCATTGAGCTTGTACCTCTTTGTCTTAGTTATGGACAACTTAACTAGGTACCTACATGATGAGGTACCGTGATGCATGTTGTTCGTACATGACAATTTTGATTGGTGAGACCCGGAACAATGTCAACACAAAGTTAGAACTTTGGAGGAATGCTTTAGAGTCCAAATGTTCTAAAAATAATTGAACTAAGACAAAGTATATGGAGTACAAGTTTAGTAATAATAGGAATAGAGACGAGGAAGTAGTCAAGATTGATGACCACAAAATACAAAAAGACCGCACTTTCAATATCTTGGGTTGATAATCCAGGAAAATGGAGAGATTGAAGAAGATGTCGCACAAAGAATTAGAGCTAGGTGGGCAAAGTGGAGAGGTGTAATGATAAATTTATATGATTGCCGCGTACTAATGAGGTCGAAGGGCAAGTTCTATGGGACATTGGTGAGACCAGTTTTCGCTCTATGGGATGGAATATTAGGCAGACAAAAAACAATATACCTATAGAATGAGTATAGAGAAGATGCGTACGTTAAGATGGATGAGTGGCATTACTAGAAGGGATAAATTCAAAATGAATCTATTTGAGAGAATTTAGACGTGGCACCAATCGACGATAAAATGAGAGAAAGTAGACTTAGGTGGGCTGGCCATGTGTGGTATCCGCCAAGTAAAACACTTGTTAGGAGGTGCAAGTTAGTTCAAGTGGAAAGACTGAAAAGCGCAAAGGGTAGGCCCAAAAAAGACGCAGTTGGAAGTAGTACGAAAAAAATATAGGGACTTATAGCTCCACTTACCATTAATAGAGCATAATCGAGAACCAAGATTAATGTAGCTAAAATTAATTAGAAAAAAGCTAAAATGATGATGATGCATATATACTCTCTCATGTTACAAGTTTCACTTATGATAATTTTTTTTTTTTTTTAAATTTTTTTTTGAATTTTTGTAGCCAACTAAGAGTCACTAGATTATTATTTTCAAAACGAAAAATTTGAATTTTAGGTGTTTTAAGATCTCACCTTCTAGAAATTAGATATCATCCTTTCAATCTTGAGACTTTATTTTTTTAAATCAAGTAAAGATTTCAACTTAAAAATTTTGTCTATTAGGATTAGTATAAAAGTTGAAGAGGTTACGTATCCAAAATTTGAGATCTTAAAGTTACTTCTAGATTGAGTTTTACAAAAGGGAGTAAATAGACAAGATACCCTCGCGGGAGCATAATATTTTTTGGCGTATTGCAATCGATAGGAATAGTGAAATTTTGAGAGCCTTTACTCATGAGAGCAAGACCAGTATTACACTGGTGATGGGTGAATAAAAGCAAAGTGGGTCCCAAGACTTGGGCTTGTGAAAAGTTTCCATCAAAAGTAATAAAGTTTTGGAACTGTACGGAAAGAGTACATGAAGGCCAATGATTTTTATATCCCTCCAGCTGGTCACCTAAGCTAACATTATCTGGATTACACTAACATGGCCGGCCATAAAATATGGGAGAAGTTTATACTATGAATCAACTTTGTTTTATACAATTAAGGTCTCTCGAAATTGAGATGTATAAATATGAGAAAAAAAAGATTTTAATTTATAAAAAAAGTACATCTTGTAACATATTATATAAACGATCTATTTTTAAGATTTTCAAGTGTATGTAATTGTGCTCAATTTATTTTTAAGCTTTAAATTTTATAATTAGATATAGCAATAATTTTTTAAGTTATTGTAAGGGTTTTTATCTTCAAAACTGCATCTTCTAATAGGATTTCGAGGTGCTCCTTATTGCCATATTTTAAAGTTGGCGCCTTATATAAATTTCCTCCATGAAGCATTAAAAAAGAAATAAATCATAGGACAGATTTGAGATTCACAATTTAACATTGTATCTACTCTATTTGTCCTACTTTCAAAAAGCTTATTAAAGTACACCAAGTACACAAAATAAGGGGTGAAGTGATTAAAACGAATTGTTCTTGAGAGAGATACGCAAGATATTGGTATTTATGAATACCAAAATCTCATTCTAAACATTTTATGAAACATTGAGACCTACAAATACAAAATCTCATCGGTGACTTAGTGAGATAATGTTGTTTGAGAATATAAATATCCCATAGTTAACTCATTTGTTGAGACAATAGACTTCAAAAAACACTAATGTTTCACTAGGAGTTTGGGTGAAATATCAATATTGGAAAACTTTAATATCTTGTGAAATCTTAATCCATATTAGATGTTGGCATTAAAAAATACCAATATCTCACAAGTTGGCCTAGGGAGATATTCATGTTCATACTTACTAATATCACAGTAATTTTTTTAGTAAGATATTAGTTTTTGAAGATACTTATATCTCATAGATATTTTAGAGTGAGATATTAATATCTCGATCAATGTTATGAGATTTACTTTGGAGTCTTTTTCGGTTTGGTGATAAAAATGAAGCAATCCGGTGCTTCAACCGATTCGATGGAAGACTCTGGATTTTTTAATTTAATATAAATAGATTAGATATTTATATATAATAATATATAAAAATAATAAAAAAATTTAAAATTAAAATTTCAAAAAATTAAAAAAATACTATATAGTTATTTTTTTGCTTGGGCCAAAGAGGTCGAAGCTTCAACCGAATCTGCCCGAAGCAGAACCGAATTTGACTGAAGTGGCCTGAATTTAACAGAAGCTGCAACAACAATATATAAAAATAATAAAAAATAAAAAAAAAAACTTTTATATTGATATTTTTTTGTTTGGGCTGAAGAGGCCGAAGCTTCAACCGAATCTTTTCGAAGCATGTCCAAATCTACCAAAGCGACCCGAATTTGACTGAACCGATAACACCAAGCTTCGCTTCACTTCGGTTTAGACCTAAAATCCTAAAGCTTCAACCACGTCGGCTGAAGCGAAGTGAATTTGAAAACATTGATCTCGATGTACCAATATCGTTTACTAAAGAGTGCTTTCATTGTGCTGGAGGGGCCAAAATTGAAAACAGCCCTTCTACCAATATCTAACGACATTATTGAAGTTGTCTTTTGACAAAAAAAATTATGAAAATATTTTTCCATGAAATGTTAGATAGTGCATATCTAA